GTCTTCCTAGTGCAGCTCTGAGATCTTCTGGTAGTATCTAAATCATGCCAAGGACCAAACTCAGGAACCTCTTCCTTCTAAGACAGCACCATGAGAGTAGCCAGAGGAAGGAGCAGTGTCCAGCCAATGCTCATACTCCTCACTGAGCACAGACTGCCAGACTAGCGGCTGGGTCAGAGAGTAGCTGGCACTAGTCTAGCTCTGGCAACCTCACAATGAGGACAACAGTTTGTCCTTTAAAAGCCATTCTGCAGCCATTCTTAAAATATGCTGGGCATTCCAGACCAATTCTATTAAATGACTCACAAAGTTAACTGGAAACAGGAAACGTGCTAGTCTGTGATTTCTAACACTTACAAAAACTCCTTTGCTTCCAAAGACAAACTTTCAAAACAATTAGTGTCTCAGTACTCCTGGCAATCAGGGAATAAGAAAAGATGCCAAATAGATCTCCCCACCTTAAAGAAGCTTTCCATCTCTAGAAAACACCAACAAAACAAGAAAATCCTAAGATTTGTCAGTCAACTTGTTGCCTGAGTTAGATGAGTCAAGACAAAACACTGGACTCTTTCCTGTCTTTTATTTTACTGAAAGCTAGTGTTACATGTCGCTTGAGGACACACCCTGGCTGCCAATTGGCTTAAAATCAATAATTAATAAGCACAAATTCACTAAGAAGAGGTCCAAAAGGAAAGAAAAAATATCATTTAAATTTCAGTAATTTAATTGTCTCCTGGTTGTTATAAAGATACACGAAACACTTTATTAAATATGGGGAATAAGATATGTTTGATTCGAGTAAGTATTACAAGATAGATTTGGTATCATCACCTGAGAAGGGAAAAATTTACATCATTTTCCAGAGACTTAGCCTGCAGAAGACTTGGTTTAATTTCCTTGCAATGCTACCACTTTTCTGTATTATCTTAGGTAAGCCACCTCATTTGGTTTTGCTCCAGCTTCCCGTCTACGCAATAGAAATCTCTCCTATCTCACTGGCACAATGTGATGATAACTGCATCAAAATGTGAAGTACCCAAATGTTACAGAAAGAAAAGACATATCTATAGCACAAATGTATCTGGATATGTATCAAGTACATCCACACATGCTTACTCTAAGTCCAATTTATATTTATTATATAGTTCTTCTGATTTCTTTTGTGTTACATGTGGCGTCCTTCATTCTGCTCTCTTGTATTCTGATGCTTTAGGCAAAAATCCCCTAAGATAAATTTCTCAGCAGGTTTTACAATGGAATTATCTCACTGTTTGTTTTGCTGCAGTTTTCAATCTCCCTTCTCTGTTCATCTACAAAAATGCCACAATTAAAGCAGAAAGTCACAGTCTTGCCACATGACCATATTCACGCTGTAAAGTACTTACTGTCAACCTCCTCCAGGAAAAATTACTTAAGAGCAGAGATACTTAGAAAAATTATTTCAGCTAGCAGAGTAACTTCACTTTGCCAAGGAGGTCACTCAGCTCTAGTGACAGCCAACACTTCTGGAAACTAAGGCATGAGGAAATATTTGAAGTGCACCTCTTTACAGCACCTGTGTTACAACACACAGCATCTCAGCATCATCTGGCCAATTTTTACGTGTCAAAAAACACTGAAGAAAACTGTCAAGTCTTCTAATTTATCCAGAAGATAACAATAGGCTTGGAGTCAAGGGACTAGAACCCTGATTAGCAAGAAGAAATTGAGGACAGCACAGAGCAAAGGGGCTTCAGATGAAGTGCAAGAAAGCCTGTGGGAATCCCAAGCCAGTATAAATTGGCATATCATTGCAAAAGGCTCATGAGTTTATCAAAAAGCAGCAATGCTTCTTCTGCTTTTCTTTTCTAAGTTTTATGTAACATGCTCTTTGCTCATGTTCTTCTTAAATTAAACCAAACTAATTTGCAATACCTACAATGATTACATTTAATTTTTCAAAATGTATATAATGATGGAAAGTGATTATTTACACTTTTACAGACAACAAATATATTTCTTTCTAACATGCTCGTTAGATCTAATATTTAGGGTGTGACACTTCCTGAGTTCTCGTTCAGTTTTTTATAATAATAATAATTACGATAATCATGATAATTTTGCAGGATAACTTTGTATACATAAAACACATATGCGGATAAGCACTTGAAATAGTCCAACTAACACTTTGAAACCTGTAAATTATGGGAAGGAAACTTGCTGATACAACTCAGTTGCTGAGGAGTTACAAAAGGAAAAATTACCATGATGAGAGAGCCCAGCTCAAGAATGCCAACCCACCTGGTCTCCTTTGCCACCATGGATAAGTGCTTTCCAGTTTACAGAAAGAATACAGGATTTACATTCTTTAGCACTTTTATGGAGTGTTAAAAGATACCCTAAAATGGAGTGCTTTCTTCAAGTCTTCCCTTTGTAGGTACCCAGGATACATATAAAAAGGTTCAGCTTATTCAGTTAAGTCCCTGGTGTGATTTTACACTTCCTTCTTTTTGAGAACTTTTGGTGACCTCACTACAGAATTTGAGTAATATACTGTTTCCAAAAAGTCTGGTACTTTTTCAATTTCCTTTTTTTTTTTGTTTTTTAATTAAAAAATAAAAGAAAGCTTGGCTTATGCCAAGCTAGTTTATTAGGGAACTTTTAGTCCCTGCATGATCTATAAAGCACTTGCTAGTTCAGAAATATTTTTTGAAAAAAACTTACTTTATCATTTTCAATAATCTTTTTTAAGACTTTGAGAAAGATTTTCCAAAACGGCATGTGATTTGAGGGTTCCAAATATGAGCTTATTATTATTTAAAAAAAATCAGTAAACTAAAAAACCCTACCTAGCACAAATTCCTTAGTTAAAATATCTTCATTAGTCCCCGAAGGCTAAAATTTTTGTTCTGCCAAAATGCTTCTTTGCCCTATCACTGTATAAACAAGAAACATTACACATAGCCTGACCACCCCAGCCCTACTCACAAATGCAGTGTCTGGTCTGAACAGTTTCCTCAGTATACGCCTACACTAGAGAAGAGAGACTCCTTAGAAACCACAAACTGGCTCAGCAAGACAGTTCCAATCTAATTCAAATTTATGAATGTGGAGACAACTAAGCGTCCTCATCACTTTAAGACATACAAGTGAGATCAGAATCAACAGATCCCTGTTAGACTATAAAAGTCACTGTTGCAAGTGTACAGTCACAGGAGAATTTTCTTCTAGGGGCACAATGAATGAGGAAACACTAGTATTTCTCCCTGCTCAAATCCAAGAGCCTGGTGCTCTTGCCAAGATCTGTGAGAGCTGTGGAATCAGAAGCAGCACAGGACTGGACTCCAAATCACTAGACAGACTTAACACACTAAAATCACAACAATTGCTATGGGTTGATCAAAAGAAGAAATAATCCTGGAAACAAGCATTTGTAAAACCTGACATTCAGGAACTTCTGTAGCAATTTACCCATAGCTTTTTTAAACAAACAAACAAAAACCCAGACAAACAAACTAACAACAACAAATAAAACCCAACAAAATACCTTTACCTCTAGCAAATAAGAGTGCTGGGGCATCTGCTATCTCTCTTTCCACAAATAAATATAGCATTTTCTCTAGAACTTTTTTTCAGGGTAAGGGCAAAGGGCAGGCAGGGATAATATTCATCGAATTGCAGGAAGATGATACTTGTCCTTTTCCCTGGCCTAGCCTACAGTTAAACACGTTTAAGTAACTGATATGCTTAAGGTAACACTTACCTGAGAGGTCAGCAACATTCAGAAACTTTAATGTACACTTTGACTCTCTCCTGGCAATCTTTAAAGTACATAATGCTAAAGGATCAAACACTGCTTTGGATTTTGAAGAACAATTTGCAGGATCCAATTGAAATACAATTATGTTTGAAAAGAAAACAATTACTTCTGTTTTCAAAACAAGCCCTCTGGTTTCACATCTCAAAGAATTAATTCAATAAATACAATTCTGCTTGTCTGATTTTCATTTTAAATGCATTTAAAACTGCATGATCATAAATAAAAATTCTTAAAATACCGCATAATATTTGAATAATTTATGCATTCTAACAGAAAAGCAAAATACGATATAGATAGTGAGTCTAATACCAAATTTAATTAATTGACTACAATCAGTTCCATGACTAACAGAAGTACGCACTTCTCAAAATATGTTTCTCGTACCCAGACAAAATGTATTTATAGGAAAATCGGCGCATTCAAGAAACTGAACGTGTTTTGTAAACCTGTTTTTTTCCAATTCCATGGCACAGATTCCTGCGGGCCCCCGGCGCCCGCGAGCTGGTCCCCACTGCCCGGCAGGGCGCTGGCTCTCAGTGTGACACCGGGCCGAACGGCTGATAACGCACCTTTACACCTCTTTAAAACTTTTTTATTTTTTCCCCGTCCCTAGTTTTGTCAAAACTTCCAAAAAATTGCCTGTTCTACACGGCTTAATCTTCCTTTTGGCAGGAGGAGCCGGGTCCTCCATGCCTTGCTATCCCGCAAGGCAGGGCGTGTAGAGAAATGGGTTGCTGCCTCCCGAGCTATCGCTACTCAGGAGGATGGGACCGCTCGCCTTCCTCCCAAAACTTGGAATTTCCGACTTTCCCGGAGCGCCTGTTGGCGGCGAAGCTTCTACCACCTCTTGAGGGTGTGGGACGTCTAGACCTGAAAGAACTGCGATTAGGGGCGTTTAACAGCACCCGACGCCGCTACCACGGCGCTCTGCCGCGCTCTCTGCACCCACAGGTGGGCCGGCCGGCCGCACTCGGAAGCCCGCACCACCCGCTCCTCGGCGTCCCGTGGCCAGACCCTCGGCCGGAGCCCCGGCGGCACGGTACCCAGCGGGGCTCGGCGTCCCGCCGCCGCCTGCGAGCTCCTCGGGGCGGCCGCGCCTCTCCTGCCGCCGTCTCGGCGTGCGGAGCGCGGGGCCGAGCCCTCGGCAAGCCCCTCGGTCCGGTCTCCCCGGCGACAGGACGCGGGAGGGGCCGGCGCTCACCTGTGGCTGCCGGCGGGAAGATGCCGCCTCTCTCCGCCGCCGCGGCCCGCGCTGGCGGGCGGCCGCCGTCCGCCGCCGAGGGGTTAAGCACTTGGAAAGCCCATCTTGCCGGGAAGGGACCCCCTGAGGGGCTGATTTGTTCCGCCGCGGGGCACAGCTTGAGGGGCACGGGGTTGGCGGGGAGGGGACGGAGTTGTGCAGGGCTCGGAGCCCCGGCCCGCAGCAAGTTCTCGATGAGGAAACTTTTGCCCAGGTTGCCGAAGCCCGGCGCCGCCGGCAGGTTGAGGAGAGCCGAGGAGCCCACCAGGTCCCAGTAAAGGGCGCTGGGCAGCATAGCGAGAGTTTCTACCCTCCTCGCCCTGCCCAGCCCGGCCCGGCCGCCGCGGCCCCTCACTGGGCTGGCACGGGGCGCCGGGCTATGGGGCCGGGCGGGCTGGCGGGGCGCCTCCCCGAGGGCTGTGGGGAGCGGAGCGGAGGGCTCGGTGAAGCTGTCCGTGGAGACGCGGCGCCTCTCCGCCGGGCTGGAAGGTGTGTCCAAGCGCATTCATTATGTCAGCCGGGGACGAGGAGTGATGGACGCGGCCAACAATGCCGCCTTGCCCAGCAGCCCCCCGGGGAGGGGGCAGGGCGGCGAGCCGAGGTGGCTGTCCCGCCGTGCCCGCCCCGACATGGCGGCGGGTCGGGTCTCCCGCTGAGGGTGTACCTGTGCGAGGGGATGGCAGGGGAAGGGAAAGGCCGCTGGCCTCCGTCCCGGCGGGGAAGTGGCTCCGGTGCTGGCCGCGGAGAGATCATGTCGACCTAATGATCCCATGAGGTAATGGGAAGATAGTCATTAGCTCACTCCCTCTGGGCATTTTTATCTGGCCTTTTTTCTTCTTCTTCTTCTTTAGTTACCCACACACAACTTGCACGCTGGATTTTCAACATTTGTCTTAATAAATCTGATTAAGATCAGCCCAGTACTGTTAATCATGTTTTTCTCGAGATGTTGGACAAAGCTTTGTGTGGGCATAAACATTCTTTGTCCGGAATTGCTTAGTCCATTTCTACTTCCTGGCATGTATTCTTCTTTATTTGCTTACAAATCACGTAATATGGCAAAGATGTCTCATTTTGCAGTTCAAACATGCATGCAGAACGTTAAAATTGAATGCTGTTCCAAAGTCCTGAAAGCATCTTCCTGTTTTGCAGAGAAATCCTTTTATTTCAAAGCAGCTGTTTGCCAGTCTAATCTTGAGGATATTCCCTGCAGAATCCTCTGGAGGAGGTGCATCCCTTATTTTTGTATAGCAGCAGAGCATAACCCTTGGACACCAGGGTGGTTCAAAGCTAAAACCAGCTGGACTGGTGGAATCATCTGTGCCCTTGGATGAGAAATGGGAAAGATGTCTTAACTGCTGTGGTACTAAGTAATACCTTGGGGAATATAAATTAGATGCTCACATGTCCGAATCTTTCCTTTACATCTTTGGGTAGGTTGGCCCTGCTGGAGTTTTGGCGCTTAATTCCATTGGTACTAAAATATGGTGAATGGAAGCCTAAGAGTTGATAAGGCTGCTTCATGCCAGAGACCGATGTAGCTTGACCTTTTGTCTTACAGCAGTGGCTGTGAGCAGGAAGAAGTCCAAGATGAGTCTGATGGTTTTGCCCTGATGTATTCTCATAAGTGTTCTCAGCCTAAACAATTTCCACAGCTTGAGCGCTTGTATTTACAAATCTGAAGGCCTTCATCAAGAGATATTAATGCAAGTATCTTACTCGTGAGTATTTTGAGACTCTTGCTTCTTGCTGCAGAATGGACAGAATCCAGGCTGTTGAATCCCTGACTACATCTGAAGCTACTGTGCATTGTTGTAGTATAAGGTGCAGAAATTATGTTTCTGAGGGAAAGAAACAAGTCAGGAGGGCACTGGCTTCTGAGCATTGCAAGTAGATGCCTTTCCAAACCCCTCATAAATTTATTCACACTTAAGGATTTATTTTGTCTCTCATTTCACTGATCAAATTCTCAGAGAATTCCCAAGGGGCCGAGACACTGAAAACCATAATTCAACACTTGGGATGTGCAGTTAGTCCATCCAGCTGTGCTGCATGAATAAAAGGTGTTCACCAGGGAAATGATGGTTGTCAGAGACTGTAACCTTCAAAGATAGACTTGGTTTTTGGTTTCCTCCAAGGCTACGTTTGATGCCAGAGGGCTACTAATATGTTAATCTCAGCTTTGTAGTTTGGTAAAGTATGATTAGCAGGTTTCATGTTTCTAGGAACTATAAGCACTACACACAGAAATATAACACAACACACTTCTGAATTGGAAGGGACCCACAAGGTTCATCAACACATGTGGTATTTGACTCCATGGAAGGCAGTGATCATGATGAGTTAACAATTCATGTCAGGTTGCATCTCTAGTTCCAGGGTTTAACTCATGCCTTACAATGTGTGTTTAAGCAGTCTCTTTCTTCTTTCTGATTTTCATCTATCAGTGGCATCTCTCGCACATGATCTGACTCTCCTGTCATAGCTGTACTAAAAACCCACCAAATCACAGGACTCAGGTTTTAAATAAGAAGGAAATACTATTTTTCAAGAGATTCCCAGTGGAGACCTCAAACTGGTTGTGTGATGTTAAGCCAGGGTGGTAGAGTAGAATAGTGAAATGAACTCATTAAACCAGGGCAACCTCTGAGCATTGGTCTCTGGGACATACATCTGCAGCTCTGCTGAGCAGTAGCTACCAAATTCTGTCTGTCCTCTGGGCATGTGATAATTGAGTACAATCAGGCCCAAGAGTTGTTACCTGTCAAAAGCTGGAGAGCACAGCACAAGAAAATATAAATTCCCTGTTCAGATCTGGAGTATGGAATGATTTGAGAGTAAAACAAGTGGCATCCCTAAAATCCAGATCCTTTCTGGTGAATGCAGCCCGGAATTGCATGACAAGTAGATCCTTAGCCATGGATGTGAAAAGTTTTTGGATGTGTATTATCCAGATACTTTCAGAATGTAGATATGACATTCACATGATTAGTAGCTCTTACTTCTTTTCATTTGATTATGCAAACTTGGAAAGTACTTGCTCTGCATTTGGATTTTGTCAATTTACTAATTTACCTTAATCAGACTAAAGGAGAAGAAAGTTTGCCTTCACTGGGTATTTTGGCTTGTATCAGGTGTTTGGAAATCATGAAGATACACTTCTCAGGTTGCAAAACTTTAAAAATGGGATACATGAAACATACATTAAATTCTCAGTACTCAGTTAAGCCTTCCCTACTCAGAGGACAGTCTTACTGACAGGGTAGACAATTTATGTAACATACCAAGCACAAGATCTGTGCAACTACATCAAAGTCTTCCTGGCGATCCTTCTTCTACATCAGCTCTGCCCTTTCTCAGATAGCATTTCCATCCTTGATGGAAATTTCCTGATGCTTAATGGCAAGCATGCATATTAACAGCATCTACATTTTTTTTGCCAGATTTACATACATATTATTCTTCTGCAAGCTCTTTTTTTTTCTTTTTTTTTTCTTTCTTTTTTTCTTTTTTTTTTTTTTTAGGTTTGAACAGCTAACATTTAGGTCTGCACTCTAGTAAATCCCCATCTCTGGCCTTTGTCCTCATGGTGGACTCCAGCTTATCAGATGTCTGCTGGAAATGCAAAACAGCTTAGAGGAAACAGTCAAGGAGGTTCCTGGACTGTGTGGAAGGTAACTTCCCCACACAGCTGGTGAGTGTGCCAGCTGGGGAAGCTGCCCTGCTGGACCTGCTGTTTGTGAACAGAAGAGGACTGTAGGTGAGGTAATGGACAGCAGCAGTCTTGGGCACAGCAGCCATTAAGTGATAAGAGGTTTATATTCTTGGAAAACTAAGGAGGGGGCTCAACAGAATTGCTGTCTTGGACTCCCAAAGCCTTGGCAGGCTTCGTCCTTTTCAGGAGCTTCGTTGCTAGAGTCCCTTGGGAGGCAGTCCTGAAGGGCAAAGTATTCCAGGAAAGCTGGATATTCCTCAAGAAGGGACTTACAAAGACACTGAAGCAGGCTGTCCTCATGTGCTGAAATACTGGGATGGCTGAATGGAGAGCTTTATCTGGAACTCAGGAAAAAAAGGAGAGTTGATTACCTTTGGAAGAATGGCCAGGCAGCTCAGCAGCACTACGAGGACCTCATGAGGTATTGCAGGGAGGAAATTGGAAGGACCAAAACCCAGCTAGGAGTTAACCTGGCTACTCCATAAAAGACAATAAAACTGTTTCAATAAATACCTGTGTGACAAATGAAGGAAGAGCCATGGAGGCTCTCCATCCTTTGTTGAATGGGAGGGGCAACACAGTAACAGAGAATGAGGAAAAGACTGAGGTACTCAATGCCTTTTTTGCCTCAGTCTTTAGTAGTAAGACCAGCTGTTCTCTGAGAACCCAGCCCCCTGACCTGGGAGATGGGCAGGGAGCAGAATGAAGCCCTCATACTCCAAGGGGAAATGGTCCGTGACCTGCTACACCACTTAGACAGACCCAAGTCTCTGGGGCTGTATGGGATCCACCCAAAGGTGGTGAGCTGCTCGTGGCTTGGACAGGTGCACTGTTTACAGGGTAAAATGTTGGCTGGATGGTTGGGCCCAGAGAGGGATGTTTAATGGAGGCCAACTGGTGGCCAGTCACATGGGGGAGTGGGGGGTGTCCCTGGGCTCAGTATAATATCTTTATCAATGATCTGTACAAGGAAATTGAGTGTACCCTCAGTCATATTCCAGGTGACACGGAGTTGGGTGGAAGTCTTGGTCTGGTGGAAGGCAAGAAGGCTCTGCAAAGGGGCCTGGACAGGGTTGCATTGATGGGGCAAAGTCAATTGTATGAAGCTGAACGAGGCACAAAGTGCTGAGTCTTGCTTTAGAGTCACAACAAGCACATGCAGCGCTACACGCTTGGCGGAAGTGTAGCTGGGAAGCTGCCTGACAGAAAAGGACCTGGGGTGCTGTTGAACATCCTGATAAACATGAGCCAGCAGTGTGCCCAGGTGGCCAACAAGGCCAGTGGCATCCTGGCCAGTATCAGCAAGAGTGTAACCAGTAGGGCCAGGGCTGTGATTGTCCCTCTGTACTTGGCACTGATGAGGCCACACCTCAAGTGCTGTGTCCAGTTGTGGGCCCCTCACTACAACAAGGACATTGAGGTGCTGGAGCAGATCCAGAGAAGGGCAACACAGCTGGTGAAGAAGCTGAAACTCAGTTCTTCTGACAAGTGACTGAGAGAGCTGGGGTTGTTTATCCTGGAGAGAAGGCTCAGAGGAGACCTTATCACTCTCTCCAACTGCCCGAAAGGAGGTTGTAGCAAGGTCTGGGTCAGTCTCTTCTTCCAAGTAACAAGCAATAGGACAAGAAAAATTGGCCTGAAGTTGTGCCAGGGGAGGTTTCGATTGGATATTAGAAAAAAAAATTTCAGTGGAAGGGTTGTT